ATTCTCTTTATTTCTGGAACTTGAGGATTTCTATGTTTTGTTTTAGTGCTTAGTTATGTACTTCAAAGCTTTTTGTAATACCTTATCAAGGCTTTGTCTATGCAGGAATAATGAAGTCTTCCCGCATCAACTTAGTCCATCCTAGTGATAAGAAGTCTAATAAAGAGCATTTTAAATCCCAAAAAGCAATAAAGTGATGATCTCTTAATAAAAATTTTGAAATATTTGCTTTGATACTGCTTAAACTGTCCTTGTTTTTCCATTTGTAATGGGCCAGCACTGCTCTGTGCATTGACATTTGGGGATGAATGGACAGAGCACTGGGAGGCTTAGGTTCTGGCCCTGGCTTTGCTGCTTGTTAACTGCAAACTGGGGGAAACTCCTTCAGTTCTCTGAACCTATTATTAGCTGTAAGATTGATATACATGTTATCATTTGCCCTGTTTCCATCTGATTATTATAAAGATCCAGTGAGATAATAGATTGGAAAATGCTTTAAACCTTAAATACATATAATTAATAGCAATGTTAAGGACTGAAAGCCTTTGGCACATTTGCTAAGATATTTAAAAAATAGTAAATTTTATGAAGAACCATGTTTGTTTGTTTTTTTCCTTTGGTAAACAGAAAAAACAACCCTCTATCCTGGTAAAAGCTTTAATTCCATGAAAATACCTAATAAAAGAACTATTTGAAAGCTTTCAAATATTCTTGTGAAATTTAAGAGCACTATTTGTAGCAACAGGCACTTATAACTTTAATAGACTATGGAATTCATTGTGGAGAGACACACCCCAGCGGTTAAAAAAAAAAAAAAAAAAAAAAAAAAAAAAAAAAAAGAGAGAACTGAACCTGGGAATCATCAGTGCATTTTGTTGTTATATGTTTTCTCAAACAATGGATACTAAAAGTTCAATTATTATTTTGTAAAGAACCATAAGCTTTTTGAAATGCAGAAACATGTCCCTATACTTGAAAACATTGAGAACTAATCTAGCCTATGATAGTAGTCCACTAACTGGGCTATTTGACCCCAGACCCTCGATCTCGCACTAAAACACATTCCCTAAGACAGAAGTACTATATAGGTCCTCAGTGATGTCTGCCAGTCAATTGTGAGGTCTATTGCAGAGAATTTATAATTTCTTACTGATTAAAGTTCTAAGTTTGCAAATGATTTACTTAATATCAGAGACTGATTCAAGATGGCAGACTGATCATACACATCTACCACTTACTGCTCACTAAATCTCATAAAATATATGTAAATAGATACTGATAATAAAATACAGTCTAATATCATTGGAAACCAGGGAAACCTATTATCAGAAGAAATATGTTTGTGTTAAATTCTGAAAGAAATTACCAGAGAACAAATGCTTGGAGGAATAAAACTAAATGAAAGAAAAACCCAACACATGTGGAGATGACTGAGTTCAAGGTAGGTTAGACAGAACTACACACTTAGAGCCATTGGATATTAAGAAGTGGAAGGAGCTCAGGAGCATTTATCAATTTGAAAAATTAGGAACTGCATGTGGAGCAGCAAATCAGTAACCCTTACCTGTTCTGCATGCGCAAAGCGCTAGGCTGCTGTGGATGAATTGAATCATACGCTGGGGCTGGAAAAGCAGACCAGTGCTCAAGTAGCTACTGACCTCCAGGAGGATCAAAGATACTATCACACAAATCATCCTCAGATCCTGTCTGACTGCAATATCCCAACCCTGTCTTAAAGTCAGACTGCAGTAGACAAAAAGAGTTGACACTGATAGAGATCTGGGAGTCACATAATCAAAGAAGAATATACAAGCAAAAATCACCAAACATTTGAGAAACAAAACCAAACAAACTACAATACAAAGAAGGTGAGGCTTCATGCTTAACAAAAATTAACAGAATTAAGAGAACAGAAAAAGACGTTAAGCTTAATTACAATATTTTAAGAGTATCATATTCATAATATAGGAAGAGTCTTATGTATTCAGGAGGCATTTCTAGATCTTGGAAATGAAAAAATAAAATACTTATTAAAAAGTGTTTTTCAGTAGATGGCCTGATATAACAATTGACATGGCTGAAAATCAATTTATTTCGTATACGGTTAGTGTCAAGGGATGCTTGCATTCTTAGTGGTAAAGTACCATGAAAAGGATAATGAGAGGGGTGCCTGGGTAGCTCAGTCAGTTAGGCATCCGATTTTGGCTCAGGTCATGATCTCGCAGTTTGTGAGTTCGAGCCTAGCTTCGGGCTCTATGCTGACAGCTCAGAGCCAGGAACCTGCTTTGGATTCCGTGTCTCCCCCCTTCTTTCTGCCCCTCCCCTGCTCACATTCTGTCTCTCTCTGTTTCTCAATAATAAATAAAGGTTAAAGAGTTAAAAAAAAAAAAGAAGGATAATGAGAGAAAAGATAAAAGGGATAGAAGATAAATCCAAGTGTTCCAATCATTCGGCTAGTAGGAGAGAAGGAGATGTTCTAGAAGGAGAGAAGAGAGAAAATGGAGGGGATGGAAATAACAGAAAAGGCTACAGAGTAAAATTTTCCAGATTGAAAGAAAGACAAGTATCTTCAAATTGAAAGTGTTTTACCCCAATGTTTATAGCAGCACTCTCAACAATAGCCAAATTATGGAAAGAGCCTAAATGTCCATCAACTGACGAATGGATAAAGAAATTGTGGTTTATATACACAATGGAGTACTACAGGGCAATGAGAAAGAACGAAATATGGCCCTTTGTAGCAACGTGGATGGAACTGGAGAGAGTGATGCTAAGTGAAATAAGCCATACAGAGAAAGACAGATACCATATGTTTTCACTCTTATGTGGATCCTGAGAAACTTAACAGAAACCCATGGGGAAGGGGAAGGAAAAAAAAAAGAGGTTAGAGTGGGAGAGAGCCAAAGCATAAGAGACTCTTAAAAACTGAGAACAAACTGAGGGTTGATGGGGGGTGGGAGGGAGGGGAGGGTAGGTGATGGGCATTGAAGAGGGCATCTTTTGGGATGAGCACTGGGTGTTGAATGGAAACCAATTTGACAATAAATTTCATATATTAAAAAAAAATTGAAAGTGTCTTAATTCTATTACCTCTAGTTTTGTTTTAACCGTTCTCTTTGTTTTACTGCAGACTCTTACTCAGTTGGGTTTCCTTTTTGTGTGTGATTTGCGATTTTTGTTTGTGACCTTAACTTCAGTGGGGACTGTTTCATCTGTGGTTTGTAGAAATATCACTCCAGGAGGGTTTTGCATTTACTTTAGTCAGACAGCTCAGTGGTAGCACCAGCAGGACTAATTTTTATGTAAATTTGGTGTCCTATGAAAGGTACTGTATGTGAGTTCATATTCCATACTGGAATATGGTACACACGAGGTTTTACTTTCTCACAAAGATTTTAACTATCTATAGCTGTAGGAAGAGACAAACTTTCTTGCATCTGCTTGGTCATATGAGTGAAATTCTTCCAGTCTGTCTTGTACCAGTTGGCCAGCTGTTTGAGGGCTGTAGCTTTATGTGGGTTTCAATCTCAACTCTGTACTTTGGAGGCCATATGCTCCATCTCTGTTCCAATATGAATTAAAATTCAAGTGCCTAGCATTTAACACCTCTCTCTCCATCTTTGCTATCAAACCCCACCCCTGCCCTTTCCCTACACATATACTTAAGCTTATGTTCTTTTTGCTCCAGTTCTGTGGTATATCTATACTATTGAAGTCTATTCATCTATTAAAATAATGACATACTCTACACGTGTTGACAAAAGATCTTCAAGAAATATATTGCAAGTTCTCTATTTTGGAACATGAGGGTTTCTCTGTTTTGTGCACTTGGCTACATATGTGTTTGTTTCATTTTATTTAGCATTTCAAGGTGTTTGTAATGAAAGGGGTTCACTATTACCCTTAATCTGCTATATTGCAAGAACAGAAAGTCCCCAATACACAAATACAGAATAATGGCATCCATTCATTTGCAGTCTATTAAAATTTCTTTAGTGGAGGAGAAATGGATAAAGATACACCTATATTTTTTTTTGTCAACACTACAGATAACAGTGTGAAGCTGATATATTGCCAGGGAAAATTGCTGGGCATATAAATACTCCTTTGGCACAGATATTCCACCTACTTCCACTTGTGTGCAATAGAACATAGCTTCTGATAGACACATTTTGGCACACCAAATGTGCCAAATACAAGAGCTGGTAGAATTAACTACGCCGAACTCATCTAAAAAGCAAAGATTGAGTTAGTGCTAGAAATGTTCTAAGTAAAATAGAAAACAATGTAAGAAATATTTTTATATTCTAGGTACCCAAATGTCTTTGAATTAATTGTGTGTGTGTGTGTGTGTGTATGTGTAACTAGTACCAGGAGAAATGTTTTTAGATTTTTCACACTCTTAATTGTATATAGAGGGACTAAAAGTTTAAGAATAAAGAGGAAAATTTAAGGTTATAGGAGAACATTATCCTTAAATGGAAATTTTAATTATAGTAATAGTGATGATGTAATTACATTGGTCACTTACTGATCAGTGTGCATAATCTCATGCTCACTAACCCTTGAGAAGTTGCTATTATCCTGATTTTACAGACAAGGAAACTGAAGTCTAGGGAGGTTAAGTAATTCACCCAAGGTCACACAAGTCATACATGGTGGAACCAAAATCCAACCCTGCTTTGATCCCAGAGAATGACTATCTCATAGGGCCTCTCCTCTAAAAGTATATTTGTCAGTTATGTTCATTTTTATGCAAAACAAAATTGTTTTGTTTATAAATAATATAACACAAAAATATGTCTCGTAGCCCACCACTCATTAGAGACCACTCTTAAATTTCTGGTGTATTTTAATTGTCTTATTTTTCATTTTCCCATTTATGTAAATTGAATTTCTTTAGTTTATTGATAACAGAAAAAGCAACTGTGAGGGCTTGTATGGTGATTCTGAAATTTGTCTACATTCCAAGGATTAGATTTTCATCTGAAGAAGGTAATTTATCCTGATTTATTCTGGCTTTTTATTGGTGGATTTAAAGGATCATGCCTGGGGAGAAGAGCATTTACTGCAGTTATTTGGAAGGTGTCTGCAGCCTTCTCTCTTCTCTCAGGACTTCTGGGGCATGCCTTGGCTGCCCCTCTGACGTCTGTTTCTGATAAGTGAGTTTCAGTCTCTAACAGCTCTGGGGAATTTTGTCGGCAGAGACCTGGTGAGATCATTTTGCTTTCCGCTGAGTTTCCTTTCTCTGTTTTTTTGGACTGTTCTGATGAGCATGACCCCGCAGCGTTCCGTAATACCTCTGTTCCCGTAGGAACTATTGGCCTACTCCCTGGTTTTATCTCTGTCTGCACAAAAGCTCCATGTCGCTGGAAAGGAAAACAAAGTTGACATTAACCAGGGCACGCAAGTTGCTGGAAGATGCAGCTGGGAACTCAGTTTATGTGTTAGCTCAAGTCCTGGCAAGGCAGGTACTTCTTTCTCTGCCTCTTCTTTGGCTGTCACTTGACTCCAAAACCCAAGACAGCGGCATAATCATTATTAGTGAAACTTTTAAATCACTTATAACATAGGGCATGCCAGAAAATAAACGAGAAAGGAAACGCAGAAAGTCAAAGAAGCAGAATCTCATTTCTCATTCTCAACAGTTCTATCAGTTGGATTGTTTAAGACTAATCATGTCAAATTCATTTCTTGCTCTATAGGGCAACTTGTGGTTCATAGACCTAAGGGTTTGTGACTGTATCCCAAATGCCTGTTAGTTTTCAACAAAAGACTTAAGGTGAAATATGAAAACAAACATTTGCAGTTGGAAAAAAATCCAGCAACTATTACATTGCTGTTTGGCTTTGTAAATCTTACATGCATTCCCCTGCCACACCCACATGAGCATATCCAAAAGCTTATCAAACTGCTTTGATATTACCTCAAGTGAATGATTACAATAATTTAAACCAAATTCCAAAGACTGTGATCCAAAATTCTGACATCATTCCTTAGTTTTAACCATGGCATGTTGTTGAGATCTTATCCTATCAGCCATGCTAGTTTGTTTAAATAGACTTTTAGAAAGATGGTTATGACTTGAGTAGGCTTAATGTTCTGCCATAAATCTGTCCCATCCTAAAATATTAAATAATTGATTCTGAATACTCACCTGTCCCGGGATGGGCTCATTGGGACTTTTCCTAGCATCATATTGATGTAAATAAGAGATGCGTTCTATAAAATTCTTTTGAAGTTCTGCTGATGCTTCAGGAGAGGCAAGTGGAACTGAGCGAAAAAAAAGATTGTGTGAAGTCAGGACAAAAATTAGATTTGTATGTGGAAATATAATCAATATTCATAATCATGCTTTATCAACAATTGTAATAAAAGTAAATTCTTTTAGGTATGGATAAATATAATGGATGCATCATCCTTTCTCCATGAAAAGAACCAAATCAAAACAATCAACTTAGCCCCATATGTGAATTATTAAATTCTAAAACTAATATTAAATATTACTACTAAAATTCTAAAACTAATATTAATGCAATAATGGCTTTGAAAGTCTGTTAGAGGGGCCCTTGGGTGACTCAGTCAGTTAAGCATCTGACTTCAGCTCAGGTCATGATCTCATGGTTTGTGAGTTTAAGCCCCACATTTGGATCTGCGCTGAAGTGCAGAACCTGCCTGGAATTCTCTCTCTCCCTTGCTCTCTGACCCTCCCCCGCCAAAGTAAATAAATAAAACTTTAAAAAAAAAGTCTTTTAGATATGCTTCTTGCCCAGATACCAACCAAAATTTTAGGAAAAGTGTAAGTACAAATCATTTGTCAACTTATATTTTTACTACTGGAAAGGCTATGAGAAATTTATGCAGGAGTTGTTCCCAACTTAGCACTAACAGAATGAACTGGAAAACCCCAGGGCTGCTGTAGTGGTAGCTGAACACGTGATTCTTTTCATTTCCCATTGACAGACATTCTGAAAACTTGTAAGAGTGTTAAACCTTTTAAAAATCACTTTTAAATAATCTTTCTAGCTGGGTGAATGGTATATAGGGAGTTCATTATATTGGTCTCTCTCTATTTTACATTTTTAATAACTCTTAAAATTCATTTTATTTTTACTTTTAGCACACAAGGTTATAAAAGGGTCACAGCAACTCTCAGTTTAGTGAGGTAAAATTATGTCAAGGAAAAATTAAAAATTTCTCCCTTTTATAAAAAATTGATAAAAAAGAGTCTATGTACACCTACCATATCTCTGGAATAACATTCAAGAAACTGATAAAGTGATAGCTACAGGGGGAGGGAATTAGGTGACTTGGGGACAGATGGGGATTCACTTTTACTGTATATACTTTTGTGCTATTTGAATTTTGTATCATATGCATGTGTGTTAACTGTTAAAAAAATGAAATTTAATTTTTTAAAAATCTTGCCTTTAAAATTAGGGAGAATATATAAGAAGGAGAAATATGTTAGTAAATTCATACTTATTAAGCATTCATGAATTCAATTCAGAATTCAGACATTGATATAAACTAACTTTACTAGCAGGAATGAGGAGTCTTTAAGTATTTACATATTACATTATACGAAATGGCAATCTTTCCTCATTACCAGGGAAAAACTGCTAACTGATAATATTTTCTTGATTTCTTTTTTTTTTTTAAGTTTATTTTTGAGAGAGAGAGAGAGAGAGAGAGAGAGCAAGCATGAATGGGGAGGAGCAGAGAGTGAGGGAGAGAAAGAATCCCAAGCAGGCTCCCCACTGTCAGCATGGAGCCCAACGCAGGGCTTAATCCCATGAACCATGAAATCACATCTTAAGCTGAAATCAAAAGTCAGATGCTCAACCCACTGAGCCAGCCAGGTGCCCCAATTTTCTTGATTTTTAATTGAGGTAAGTTACTCAAAATGCATTTCTTCTTAATCATTACCTTTTTTTTTTTTAGGATTTGTTAGTGCACTAAGGAACAGCAGGTGCCAAAGAGTTATTAAAAATGTGTGGGCAACTATGACATTGAGAAAATTCTAACCATAACCTATACATATTTTTTTCTACCAGTTGGGAAAAGACTACCAGGTTTTGGGTGAATGCCATGGTCCAGCTCACAGAACATTAGTGTTTTTAGAAACATAGTTTGATAACTTCTTGAAAAAAATGAAACAGCTCTAAATTCAGTGATTCATCAGGTGGGGTTAATGGAGTGTCCAAAGCATGGGCTTTGGGATATGATAGACATGTTCTTAAATTCTAGCCCTACCACATTTCCTAGTGGTGTACAAATCACTTACCTTCACTGAAATTCAATTTTCAATTCCCTCCTCTCTAAAATGCAGATAATAATATGATTCCAGAACTGAAAGATGCTGGATCAAATTAGAGAGGGTCTTGTATCTTGATGAAACAGGAAACCATGAAAGGGAGAAGAAGCAGGACTGATGAACTATCAACTCTGAGAAACCCAAAGGCTTTAGTGGACTGGTGTGAAGGGTTGGTGGCAGCTTGGGCTGGATGGTAGGAAGGTCAGGTTTGGGCAAGAGAGAATAAGTGGGGAAGAGGTCTCAAAACCTGCTCTTGACTTCCCCCCACATTGCCATGGGAAGATCATTGCTTGCCTCAGGGGCAAGAAACTGGTGGCAACTACCTAGCCAGCTGTTGTCAACTTAGTAACATTCGAACAGGACAGAAATCCCTCCAGGTAAGGAGCTGACGAAAATGGGTGCATGCTGTCCTCTTAGGCATTTGTTCTGCTACCATTCCCCAGAAACCATCAGTACTGGTAGGGCTGAAAACATTAAGAGATTGTCTTTTCTTGTGATGCCTCTTTATAAGAGTTTAAAGTAAGGGGGGGAGGTATGGTGTTCTGACTAGAGAACTGGCCTAGTACAGGGACAGCAAATGGAAATGGTCAAAATTGGTTTTATGGGATCTGACACTCTCCAGCTTCACCCTCCTTTTCTTTCCTTTAAATTCACTGGGAGGCACACAAAGCCAGACCCTAGTCCTTAGACTTTCCCCCCACAGGGCTGTTGACCCCTTGAGGAACATGACCTAAGATAAACTAGACAGACACTATAAAGAAAGACAACAAAATTTAAAACATATTATGTGAGGCAGAGTAATTGGAACTAGTTCTCCAAGAATTTAAAATAAGCATAAAAAATATCCTCAAAGACACAGAAGATATTATTAATATGAAGCAAGAAGAAGAGGTCAATAAAAAAAAAAGAATCATGTAAATATCAGAAATCAAAGAAAATGTAATAACTAAATTAAAAAAGATGCGATCAATAAAGACTCATGAACTGGAAAGACAAACTCTCCCAAAGGTAGCAGCAAAGGATAAAGAAATTAAAATATAAAAGAATGGATGGTAGAATTCAGGAGACCTAAGTAAAGAAACAGAGGGAAGGAAACGGTTAAAGAAATAATGATGATAGGGGTACCTGGATTGCTCAGTCGGTGCAGCATGTGAGTCTTGATCTCAGGTCATGAGTTCAAGCCCCACATTGGAGCCTATTTTTAAAAAATGATAAATATCCAAGAATTAAAGAAAGACCAAAGACCTCAGGTTGAAAGGGCTCACAAATTACCAAGCAGGGTGGCAGGTCCAGGAGTAAGTTGAGGCAAGTGAGACCCTTGGGATGTAAAATTGAAGGAGGCATTTGCATAGTCCTGGGACTGAGTCCCTCATCAAGTTTTGCTCCCTGGGTCTCTCATTTGCCTCACTCTCCTCCCAATTTGTAGGGTACATAAGGAAAAACTCACATCCAAGACCCTTTATAGAGAAATATAAGGTTATCTGGGGCAAAGAAAATTCTAAATGCTTTGAAAAAGAGAAGGTAGATTACTTACAAAGGAGGAAAAAGCAGATCTATATTAAAATTCACAGCAACAATCTTGGACACAGGATAATAATTAATATTTTTAAAATGTTAAAGGGAAAAGAATTTCAAGCCTAGAATTTTTATATCCAACCAACCAGTCATTCAACTGTGAAGCCAAAATAAAAAAATATTGGGAGGCAAGTAAGTCCTCAGACTATTTCCCCATAAAACAGATCAACCTCAAAAAATTCCAAGAGGAAGAACTCAAATAAGAATAGAAATAAATCAAGGAGAGTACATAAGATAGAAGAAAATAACAAAATTTTTTTATTTCTTTAAAAAGATATGGACTAAATAACAAAAAAAAAAAAATAAGTATACCCATAACAACTCAGAACTAAAATTCTACTGTTTATTAACATATTAATGGAGATACTGGAGAATATTGTGTATATATATATATATATATATATATATATATATATA